TATATGAAATTATTCAGTCGCAGAAATCGTGTCCTCCCGTTTTTAAGGGACTCAATAATTTCATATAAGACAGCCATCAGCAACTAATATTTTAAATTTAGTAGTTTAGTGATGAGGTTGATAATTTGGCCCGAATATTATTAGGTTTTTAACTGATAATAGGAAGAAAGCAAATTGAGTCACCCGAACAGACTGGTCATCCCCATATATATATAGATCAAAAAGATTCTCCTTTAATTTTGCATTTCGGCACCTGACAAAATTTCTCAAAACTATTTCATTTAGTTTATTTTCAATTTTTTTCTTCACTAGCATTAATGCTAATAAAAATTGAAATAGCGATTTTTTTGTAGAAAATTTTATTAAATTTGATTTTAGGCATCGAAGAACATTCTCCTAATGCTTATGAACTTGATACAACTAATTTATCATTATGACATGAAAATGTTGAACAATAAGCTGAAGCTGTCATTTATGCTTTTCTAAAAGTAAACATATGTTTTTTTGCTATATTCATATGTTTAAAAGTATAATTATATGTTAGAATGCGAAAATTCCATTTGATCTTCTTCCAAAAACACCAATAGATGAACGTATTTATGAACAAAATACATGTTTAGCATGTCAACATGTATTTCATATGAAATCACGATGGCTTGGTAAATATTTCATTTTATTTTCAATGTAGACTCTTTTAATTTTTTTTCGTATTAATATAGATCATTTAAAAAGCAAATAACATAAACGAATAGCTCGTGCAACAGATCCAACAGCATATTGTTAAAAATTGAATAATGCTACACTATCATTATTGAATACACTTGATTTATTACAAATGAAAAAAACTTCTGAAATAGAGAAAGAGAGTGATGAATGTGAAATAGATGAAGCGATATAATCTTTAGAAAAAAATAATTGATTCATATTTGTTATTATTTACTGTTTTTTTTGTTTCTAGAGAAAAAAAATATATTTTGTTTTTTTTCCGAAAAGAATTATTCCGTATGGTGAACAAGAGAAGCAATCTTGTCGAAGTAAGAGAGTGAGAGAAATAAACATAAGTCAAACTAAATATTAACGCAACTAATATTTTTACCTTCCTTTCTCTAGCTCTCTTTTATTATCTGGATGACCTTTATTTTAGTATTATTGATTTTTATTTCAGAGACGTCTCTATGAATATACATTGCATGCTGTTTGTTCTCCATTACATGTCATTGAGCCTGGAGCAACAAGTGATCAACTTGCTGCACACGTTGCTGAAGTATATTAAAAATAAAGATTAAATAAAACTAAGAATTTTCGTTTATACTTTAATAGCTTTTTAATGTTGATCCTGAAGAACATGGACAAAAATATATGCGAGCTCTTAAGCTGGAAGTAAAACTATTTTTTGCTTTTTTTTTTGTTTTTCAAAACCAAA